TCAACAGAAAAAAAAAAAACAATGTTTGTAAACATTGTAGTTGCCATGGGAACAAGCACCTGAGAGGGGGTTACCTGCAGCTGACATAACTTTTATTATGACATCTTTGTGTTTGAACATCTAACCTGTGTTTGACTTCCTGGAGATTTGAACCTGCAGTCTTAATATAAGCTCAAACATGTTTTAATTCTATACCATCTTAGCAGAATCTCACCATCCAAATAATGCCTGTGTTGGAAGAAACTAATTTGCTGTGGGCAACAAGTATGTGTAAACAAGAACCTAAAGGGGAACTCCACTAACTACCAGGAAAAAAAAAGGTTTTGGACCGCCAATATAGTTTTCATGAGTGCTTACTTCCGGTTTTTGATGTGACAAACTTGTCATGTGACACTACTGGTCTGAGTTAGACCCCATGAATCTAAAAAAGCTCAAACATGTTTTAATTCTATACCATCTTAGCAGAATCTTACCATCCAAATAATGCCTGTGTTGGAAGAAACTCATTTGCTGTGGGCAACAAGTATGTGTAAACAAGAACCTAAAGGGGAACTCCACTAACTACCAGGAAAAAAAAGGTTTTGGACCGCCAATATAGTTTTCATGAGTGCTTACTTCCGGTTTTTGATGTGACAAACTTGTCATGTGACACTACTGGTCTGAGTTAGACCCCATGAATCTAAAATGTTTTGTTGTTGTTAGGTACTAGATTTGTATATGCTGGTGTCCTGAAGGATGACAAAATACAATTGTAGCAGATATATTATATTCTTATATATAGGCCTACACTACAATTTACATTTCAAATCCAATATTTCCACAATTCAAATCCAGTCTTGAACTGGGAAAATGGAGCAACGATGGACCAACTAAGGCCATATATACATTTTGTCCAATCAAATGTTCTCTAGACTGAGAACATCCCTCCCACTAATAGCACCTGCCACTCATTAGCAATAGCAAGTAGCAAGTCATGTTTTGGTGGCTATTATGTTTCATCCATGCTTTTTGTTTGGGAAATACATCAACAGACAAAAGAAAACTGGTCTTCAAACCATCCATCCATCATGTGGTCATGAGGTGTGTGCTAAATATTCATAAAAAGGTATGTACTGTCTGCTTTTCATTAATCATACTGATGAAGCCAATAAATAGCCATGAAGTGGAGTCATATTAACAGCCATGTAGACCTGGGTTATTATAGCTAACTAAAACTAGAACCATAAAATAACATTTTCATTATTTGAAATAAAAAATAAATATATTATTTTAGCTTATCAAGGTAACATTTCTCATTCTCATTTAGTTTAACTTGATGTACTAAAATAACTAAATAAAAAAATAAAATAATACATAAAAACAAAAATAAACATTAAAAGCTAATAAAATACCATCTTTTACTGTACCTGAAGTGTCCTTAAAGTTTTCCTCAAAAGTAACTGATATTATAGTAAAAATGTCTGTTGATGACAATGACCATCCATTTATTTATTATATTTATTACCCATGCATGAATATTTATTTTGCGAAAAAAAAAGAAGATCTGGTCAGATGCCATTATTCATTTGGCTAAACTCATAAGAAGTAGTCATTTGCACAGTTAAATGTCAGCGGTGCAGATTTCCTTCCTGTTCATTGTTTTAAAGGGTGGAATTCACTTTTATTAGTCTTGAAATGCCAGCATCGGCTCAGTTGAATGCAAAGTGTAGATTAGATCTGCTAACCAGGGCTTAACTAGGCATTTCAGTGCTCAGAGTTGTTGTGATAGTTGTGTTCATTGGAACGGTCGGCGAGTCCTTGGCGTAATTCTGCTGAATGAAGTGTGTCAGTGGTTATACGACCACACCATGGGATTCATGTGGGTCTCCAACAAACCACTCCATATTTACCTACATTAACCACATACAAACATACCCTTGAACTCTTACACACATCTCTGGTCTGTGACCTATTGCCTATTCAATTCTTACTGTCATACCTGAACAGCTATTTGCTTGAAACCACATACACATTTAGACACACCTACAACTAAGCTAGTCTAACCACACATAAAGAGATGTCTGTGTTGACAAAAATAAACAACTACATCTGTCTGGCCTAGTTTCCCGCAGGAATTTCTATGCATTTTTTTCCCCACAAAAGGCATATTGGTGATTAGCATGCAGCTGTATTTTGTTTGCAATTGCAACTGAAATGGTCAAATGTGTTAAAAAGAGCTTTGAAGAGTATTAAACATAGGTTAATGACATAAAAAATGAATACATATGTTTTTTAAAATAAATAAATAATAATAATAATTGTTAGAACAAACTACAACTACTTTTCAAGAATTTCAGTGTTTTAATGGCTCTTTCTTATTATGAA